TTAAGTAAAAATATGTTAATGTTTAGTTTTCAGTTTTGAGGAAATCTACTCTTTCACTTTCATATCTGAAAGTGAAAGAAGATTATATTAGATTTGGTAAATATATATATGCTGTAGTAACGACAATTTGATTGATGGATTTGTTGTATCGTCCGTGTTTACAAACTTTGGAAATTTGCACTGAACTGATGAATGAACGAATCGTATGAGTCATTTGTTTAATAAATAAATATATAGATTTATCAGCAATAAAACAAACTGATTGTAAGTATTGAAGGTTTATGAGAAACCGACAAACGTAGCTTTGTTTTGTATTTCATCTGCAGCTATTTGTAAATATTTATAATAAAATTAAAAAATAAAATGAGTACTTCAGTGAAAGTGCACATGCATAGAAACGATAAATGTTTATGATGTAAATGCCGCAATGCTCTAAAGATTTATTGTTTGAATATGTTAAAATTGTGGATGAACGATTCAACGCATCGGCATTATTAATTCATTTCAAAAAAAAAAGTAAATGCATCATTATTATTTTTTATTCAAATCCGCGACGCGCCGCATGTTTATCGAGTGATGTGCCACTAAAGTATGCATAATATTAATCGAGTGAGCAAACTGCGGCGCGAAATGCACGAAAACGCAATCAATACGTTTTGTTTCTACAAAAAAAAACAACAACGAACGTTTACTATATTGAATTTGCTTTATTTACAAGGCTAAGTAATTGAATTTGAATTATTTACAACTGAAACTGGATAATAATTTACGTAGAACTCGATTCAAATAATTATTGATTATCTATATGTGTTTTTATGTATATAATATAATACAGGTAGTTTCCAACGTTACGAATAAATTTCCATCTCCGTTTCGTAAAGTGAGAACTCGTTTACTCATAAACTTTTCTTATGGATACATATTTTTTAATGGAAAAATTTTTCTTGTTTAAATTTCGAATAATTCACGACAATTCAAACACAATGAAAAACATATCAATAAATTTAAATATTTTAAATTTCCGAATTTTTACCCGTATAGTGAAACATATTCAAAACTACACATTGCGAGGTGCTCGTTAAGCGAGGTTCTACTGTATAATTATTTTTCTCCTCGTTTCTAGAATTGCACGTAACGTCCAAAATAATGAATGATACCCGTTTACATATGCAGAATCAGGTGTAATGTGACACATCGCTACTCAAATTACCACGAATCAATTTCATATATTAACAATAATCACTTTTTTTTAGTATTCATGCATTACAATTTAATAATTCGTAGTTTTAGTTTTATTGGACAGAATTCCACCAAAATGTGTTTATTATTTCTGGCAGATTTTTTTTTAAATTGAGATTATTCAATGTTTGTTTGAATCTAAAGAATGACAAATTTTGAATGAATTATCAAAAATAAACTAACAATAAGTTATAGTAATGTAACTTTGGAATTTCCTTAACAATTATAGTGATTATCTAAGGACTAAAAATAATTTGATAAATAAGATTGTAGTAGAATTAAATATAGTGACTTGGTATTTCCAGATGGTTTTAGTGCGCGATAATCAAACAGAATTAGAAAAAATATTCTATTTGATTATCGCTATGAACTCATTCATTTTAATCGTTTAAAACGTATGTTTCATTTACACAAATTATTTCTATAAAATTTAATTACATTTTTCTTACAATTTATTTTTCTCGTTAAGCGAAATGCTCGTTCTGCGAGTATCCACTGTATTGAGTTTGAAAGTTTTTTTTTCCCAACTTATGGATAACTCTTAATTAATTATTAAAGTAGATAACTTCGGGTTCGGATTTTCAATTAAAACTAGGTTGCGTCGTTTCAGCGTTGATTGATGATCAAATTATCGTCGGAGGACAAAAAAAAAGGAAAGCGAAGAGTTGAAATTTAATAAGAATGCATTTTATCGATTCGCCATAAAATCTGGACGTTCGTGTCGTTTCGTTTCGACATTTTATGTTATCGTAAAATTAACTTTTATGTAACGCGTGAATTATGGTTTTGCGATGTCGATAAAAATCTCTATTTTTCTTCTTCTCCTGTATCTTCAGCCTTACTAAACTCAGCAACAGCACTCCTTTCATTTTGCAGACGTTGATCTGCTGTGGAAGTTTCATTTAACATTCTCCCTCGGTGAGTGATCTCCCCAACACCTCCGTATGATTAATTAGTTAATTAACGATGAACGAAGCTCGACGAAAATATCCGCAGTTTAATTAGGTTGTCGGATGCACATGGCAGTCAACGTGCTAACTAAACAAATTGTTACGAAAAAAACAATATTTTAATTCGTTGTTGCTGTGCGTTTTCATTCATAGTTGTTTCCCAACGGATTTGTCGAAATTTATTTTCTCTGGCAGAATGTTTTTACGTTTATCGTTTACAACCAGTTCATATTGTTTTTCATAATTTCACTCTAATTACGATAAACGGCTCTATTTGAATAAAGGTTTGCACGCGATTCGCATTCGAATCTGTATCACCACGCTTCACTCGCCTCGCATTGCATCACATTTATTTTTATCTATTCAATGTAACGTTTACTTTACTTTTTACACGTGAAAACACAAAAAAAAAAACAGAATATAGACACGCATAGACCTGAACCACGTACATTTTACATCCATTCACTTCACGATGGTGTCACTATTTCGAGAGGTCCGCCAGATTATTCATCGATTTACATTCATTACGTCTGTAGTTTTGTATATATCATCAATGGACTTGATTATAATCTCTCTGTCATTTACAAGTGCTTGTATAATTCAGCACGGATCGCGTTTACAGCCATCGTTTAATTAATCCTAATTTATTATGTAATTTACAGTAAATTAATTCAGAATAATATTCGTTTTAATGCGGCTGAAAGACCTAATTGACCCAACGCATCTTCACATTATTATTCTATTATGTATTCTAATAGATGCGTAGTTATAAAATTACAACCGTTTGGTAATGCAGTCGCAGGGGGCTTTGACTCATGTATTTGAATATAAACAATACTTGATTCATTACGATAATACCATGAGATTTTTTTGAAAACTATAATTACAGAGAATTCGCATAAACGTATGTTAAGAAATTTGACCTCAGTTTTTGATTACTCATTTTTTTACTAATATTTAGCTTTAATTTTGATGATAGTTGAAAATATTGGAAATCGAAACAATACTTATTTATTGTCATGGAAACACTTTTAGTTATATGTTATTATTCAATGTTACCAAGCTACGTTCCACTATTCAATTAACTTTGGGTTAATTTTTGTTAATAGACGAAAATAATTATATATTTATAAATATATGAATACATTTATTGGAAATACCTATATTGTGATAAATTGTTGTTTCCACAGAAAACGGTGACATTGAAATGTAATTATGAAGCATTTTATATAGGTTTTTAAAAATCACATATATAAAAATAACATAGTTAAAAATGTCTGTGATAATAATAGAAAATATAAATCAATTAATCCATTTTCTTGTTTGATATTATGAATATTTTAAATAATTACGAGGAAACTTTTCGAGAATAATGATTTTGTATTATTAAGTAGGGATCAATAACTGATGTTATTATATAATAAATGATGGTTTGAATGATAGCGATTCGATCGTGACTAGAAGTGGTTAGGTGCTGTTTTAGATTCTGAACTGATTAGAATTGGAATCGTTTTAACAATAACTAGAAACGATTTGCTGGAATAGAAGGAAAAATCACTGTTTTTAGGAAACATGATTTGCAGGTCCTTCGAGGATAAAAATATAAGTTATGATAATTGATTCGATTTGCTATGCAGCAGCCACTCACGCCGGAACCAGATTATAGTATTCAACCTTCGTCCTTCTAATATAATTACAATATTGCATAGTAATAAATATATTTTCCGCGTTCAGAGAAACGTGGACGAAACCTTCCCTTGGAAGAATGATATCTGCCATATATTATTACAGTTTTTTTTTTATTGTTGCTTGCAACTTTCTTTTTTTTGTGTTGTGTTCACCAAGTCTAGCATTATGGTACTTTCTAATCGTTCAGCAATGAAGCGAGTTTCATTTAATGATAACATTGTGCGCATGGAAACTCGGAAGCTTTTCCATGTGGCCGACAATGCATGGCCTCGGGCGAACTTATTTATTTTTAATTATAGTCAAAATCCGTGCGTTTCAAACAAGGCCGCTTTTCACGGGGCCGTAGCTCCGAAGAAAACTGTTCAATCATTTGCATTCAATATTTATGCAGATAGGAATCGGGGAGCACTTGAATGGAAAAGAGTGAATGGTGTCTGGTTACTATTCTTAGTAGGCCGGATAAATATATCGTCCGGGATTATTGATTTATAGCTTCTGCACTTGGATTTAATGCCTATTATTAAACGAAGCTCGAAAATTCAATTAGCCTTACCTCTTTGATGAGAGAGGAACGAGCCGTGTAGAGTGTGTGTGCAATGGTAGGAAACGAAAGAATCGTGTATTGTAATCGCGATCAATTATAATACCAGTAAATTATCATTTCTCACATATTTAATTACTGTATCACTTGGCAGTTGGAAAAGAGCAAGGCTTCGGGAATTCGCCGCAATTATAATTAATTGTATTATTGTTGCGTGGGCTCGTGTTCCTATGTGTGTGCTTGTATATATTTGTATGTGCATTGTTAACGAGCGCTGCGTTACATGAAAGAAACTGGATGATTTCTTCATCGCTTTCCCGTCACCATTCCAAAAAAAAAAGAGCCTCGCAGTCGAATTTATTGAATGAAGCGAATTCAGGCCGCGCTGCGTCATCTCCCCATTTGTGAGGTTCAATCTACTATCTCTCCCCAGGATTAATTAATAACAATTGTTTTCAACAAGATATACACACTCACAACAAAGCGTATGTGTAATCTCTCGTTCATCGCATCGATCCTATTATCCAGAGCATGTTGTTTTATCAATTTGTTTATATTTTGTTTTGTTTGTTATGTTTTAGAAAATTCGCGCGAAGAGCGTAAGCAATAATTACACGCAGCTGGAATCGGTGAAGCCGCAGAACAAACCTCTGAACAGGTACCGCGATGTGAGCCCGTACGATCACAGTCGGATCGTCCTCAAGAAGGGTTCGACTGACTACATAAACGCCAACCTGATCTGCGTGAAGAAGGCGAAACGTCGTTACATCCTTACGCAGGGTCCGCTCTGCAATACGGTGAACCATTTCTGGCTGATGGTGTGGGAGCAGGGCAGCAAGGCCGTACTGATGCTTAACAAACTGATCGAGAAGAAGCAGGAGAAGTGCCACCAATACTGGCCTTCGAAAACTGGTAGCGAACATGCAATGGTCATGGAGAATGTAGGACTCACGCTGGAGTACGTCGAGTACCACGACTACTCTTACTATCTGACTAGAACGCTTAAGCTGACTGATACAGAGAGCGGAGAGTCCAGGCAGATCATCCAGTTCCATTACACAACCTGGCCAGATTTCGGAGTGCCAAGCTCGCCCACGGCCTTCCTCGAATTTCTGAAGAAGGTACGTGATGCTGGAGCGTTGGAAGAGGACGTTGGACCGGCGATAGTCCACTGTTCAGCCGGCATCGGAAGATCCGGCACGTTCTGCCTCGTCGATTCCTGTTTAGTCTTGGTAATTATAAACCTTTTTAACTATCTACTTTTTTTAATGTTAAATCAAGTGGTAAAGCATTTATTATTAATTTTTAATCTGAACCTTTTTCTATTAACTTGTTTACTTAATCTTATTCAGAGAGTCGAACCGGAACCAGACCGTAAACCGTAATTAACCAAAATTTGTAACTTGCTTAATTGAAAAACCGAAACCGGAAATTTTATTACGGTTAATTTCGGTTAATTTTTTTTAGTGTTTATGTTTTGGTGTATTTATATGGTCAAACGAAAAAAAAAATATTTTTCGACATTGTGTTGGTCGGTCTATTGTGAATAGAGTGTATAAACAAATAATGTACAAGAGACATTGATGAAGTATCTTTGAATTCTTTTTCAAATAAACAAAACCATCAATTGGAGAAGAAAGGGCAACATTAGAACAAACTCAAATGAAAGTAATTAAAAAGGATCATGACTGTGAACATGACTGAAGAAATATTACAAAGTGCATGTGTTGAACTAGTCACTAATTAATTTTTATTTTTTTTGTATTTTCAATAGTTTGAAAACAATAGTAAGGGAATTTGGTAAATAGAATTAAATTCAAATTTTATATTGGATTCGATTTTAAATTATAATTTCAACCGGAACTGAACTGAAATTTTTAGACGAACCGAAACCGTATCTGGAAAGATACGAACCGTAAATCGGAATGAAATTAATTTCGGTTCGACTCTCTGATCTTATTTAACTATTGACATATACATTTGATATTCTATGAAATAATTATTATTTTTGGATACAAAAGTGAAAAAGGGTCTACATGAAATATAAAGGAACGTGTTTCAACTAGATCAATACCACACACGGTTCAAACACTATATTTCAATTACAGACAGACTGAAAGCTGTATTGTGTCCAAGGCGCGGTTTTCCCGAAGTTATACTAGTTATGTTTATCCACTGACAAATCCTTAAGATTTAAAACCATTTAAACTTGTTTTTAGTTTTTGTTAAAATATATACTGATATAAAATATAGTATTAATTAGGATAACTGTAAATATTTATTCAACTAAATAATAATCTATATTGGTTTTTGTTAGATTGAGTCGTACGGTCAAAATGCAGTCGACATCAAGGAGATCCTTTTGGAGCTGCGCCATTACAGGATGGGATTGATACAAACGATCGAACAATTGCGATTTTCGTATCAAGCTATTATCGAGGGTGCTAAGAAGCTATCCGAGCCGTGCGAAGATAAAGAGGTGAGTACGAACGTCCAGTTTTCCCTAGAGTCAGCAATTTATTATTCCAGAGGAATAAACCTAAACCTTCACGTTCTAAACCTCGCAAATCCTAATACCGTAAGTCCATCCCTCCATCCTATAATTTGCAATGTGCATCCGTATGTCGTTGGGCCAATGATGAGATTGTTTCTTGCAGAATTGCAATTCCGATCTGATCGTGAGTAACAATATCGAGGAGGTGGTGGAAGCTCACAGTTCCGATGAGGAGGAACCACCGCCTTTGCCGCCGCCACGCATGGACAGTTTAAACAGGAATTGCGGACCGCCCATCGATAGACCTCTTCCCAACATACCCAACAGCACGTCGCTCAGCGACTTCAGCTACCCGGAGAGCGATAGTGAGAAGGAGGTATACTTAATCGTTGTGGACCTTCTTTTCCTGTGCTCGTTCCTAAATCGTAACTTTTCAGAGTTGCCCGAGCGGTCCGTTGCCCACTGTTCCTGGGGAAGATGAGGAGGACGAGGACGACGATACCAGCAGTGTGGATGAGGTAGAAGATGAGACTGAACTTGATAAGAAACAGGAGGACGATGAAGATGTGGAGGAGGAAGAGGACGCTGTTTGTGATACAATTATTAATAATAGGTATTTCACTTTGCATAATCCAGAAGGTGGATTCTAATTGTTTCTTGTTTTGTGTTTCTCTGTTAAGATGTGCGTCGCCTTCGGCCGAGCTACGACAAAGGAACCGGATAGAGCGCAAAACTAAGCTTTCGGATCAAGTGCGGGACATGAAGAGGCGCCAGCAAGCTAACGAACAATGGACGCAGTTGAAGAGGTCTCTTTACAAACCATTCGTTGTAACCGGGGCTCTCGCCTTAACAGGCGGCCTCATCGCATATCTATACTTCAAAGCTTGATTCATTTTATTATTATTATTATTATTTTATACGTATTTATATATAGAAACAAAAGAAAGACAGTACACAAGGGGGAAGGACTGCTATTCAAATAACCGTTCATTATCTCGACTAGCTTCAGTTTAATCACAGCTATGACATAGACGTAAAAACACTTGCGTTAATCTACGAAATTTACAAACAATATTATTATTATTATTTGTTCAAATTATGTTATGTTTAATGTTCGGAAGAGTCAAGTACAAAAAAAAAACTGAGAAATTGTTGCAGATGTATTATTATTATTTTTGTTTTTCTTCTTCTATTTTTCATCTAAGAGAACAAATTTCGGATTTAACGAGAGATATATTTTATTACTACTACTATTATTATTATTATGAAATATTATTCACCGTTGTTTTTGGTAGCACAAGAATGAATTAATATAGATTATTTAAATGTTGCCACAAAGTTTACGTGTAGATATTTATTAGTTTATTATTATTATTATATATGAGTATATATTTTATTGAAATTTATAACAAAAAAAAATAAGAATGAAAAAGAAAATCTATAACAATAACCTATTTTGTTCATTTATCACTAGTTTCTTCGGTCCGCGAATTGAAATTAAATGATGACGATGATGATATAAATTAAAATTTTAAAAAAAGTGATGGATCGAAAGCGAAAAATTCGGTAAGAAAAATTAAAACGAAAGGTGAGGCCAAAACATTTGTGTCAAAGCGATCATTTCGAGAGACGACATATCAGTAAAAAAAAATTGGAAATGTTTCTTAAGCTTATGCTATCAAAAAGAAGGCAGTTAATTTTATCTTTCATTATTATTTCGATACTACTAAATAAAAAAGCAATACTTCGCATGCAATACTGAAGATTAAGGGTAAAAAATATATATATATAGGTATACGCATTTTTTTTGTAGAGATCTGCAACAAGTTGAAAATTGTTTTTAGTTTTTTTTTATTAACGAAAAAGTTTATTATGGAAAAAGACTGATCTACAATTGCTTGCCATCTTTTCTGATTCCTTCATCATGTTTATTTGCCACCGTTTCGTTCTGGCTTAAGAAATGATTATATTTTTTATAAAAGATATTGAAGTAGATTAACAAATTTTGGAAGAGTTGAATATATATATATATATTATTTTTTGATTTTTTTTTTCAGCAAATTGTGAGTAATATATGATTTGAAATCTTGATTTGCAGAAGAAGGTGGCAAGCATTGTGTCGAGAGGTTTTAGTGGTGTCTTTAGCGGGGCACAATCTTACATAAGTGATTAATATAAATATACACATTACTAGGATTAAATGAGTATGACGAAAGTACTAAAAAATATATATATATATATGAGATGAGGAAGTTTACTTCGCAGGGTTTTTTATAGGATATACAGTAAGATTTTTGATACTCGACAGAAGCACAAAATTTTTATACTAATCAAGCAGACTTTCTGTTTCCTATCTAGCTACTTACGATGATTAGTTCTTTCTTGTTTCTGTTCGGAGAGTAACTGCGTTTCTTTTTTCTACACTCGATTTTTACATTCCTTCGAAAAGTGCCTAAGAGCGATACTGATGAGATTGACTTACGGAACGAAAACTGCAGGCATGTCTTAATTTATATGGACAATACTATACTACTATAAACTAATGATTATTATTTCTATTATAAATATATACATTTGTTGTTGTCGTCTTAGAGACTATATTGAGTATGGCAACACTCTTAGATCAGTGTACGACAATCGGTGTAACTTAATGATATAATTGTTTCAACGAGGCGAGAATAGTAGTGATGTCGATTTTCATCCAACATTTCCTTTCTTCTTCATTGTGATTATTTAACTATAAAAAAAAATATATATATAATATATGAAAATGGAATTAATTTGAAAGAGAGGCGAGTGAGATAAGAAATAAGCAACAAACAAAGATAAAAAAAAATGAAACAAACTAATAAATAAATTTAACAAGACAAACAAAAATAAAAAGAGAAATAATAATAATGATGAATATATTTCGTAATCTTTTATGAATTTATTATTGATTGAGAAATCCAATAAACTATGTTACATTGAGAATATAACAAATCGTTTTATATATGGTAGATTTTTCTATTTCAGGCCAAAGACAACGCTGCCGGACTGACACACGAATTTTTTTTGGAGGAGTCTGGACGATACCTTTAGATTAGTCGAAGATAAGTTTTACGGCCTTACGTTTTAAAATTTGTTACAAAAACTAGTCAAACGCTAGTAACTGTATTGTTTATATTTTTTTTTTCTCTTACATTTAGTTTTATTTTTTGGGTATGTTTACGTATGTTTTGTTTTTATTATCTTTATTAATTAATTGCTCTGTTTTGCGTTCAGCGACGATCGTGTTAATCTGCGACGAACCATTTCTTTGTCTCGTAAGTAAAGGTGCGGCAGGAAATGTTTATTTGAACAAAAACAACAATATATAATTGCAATTTAGGACGTGAGTAGTTCCATTGGGCAATGTGAAATTGGGAAGTGCCTCTCTTAACTACTTTTTTTTTGTTTTGCATTGATTGATTTTGTTGAGCGACAAGGAAGCAGAAAAACTTCTAAAATTAAGTAATCTGTAGAGTGTATTTCAATTACTGACTAACTCATTAGTAGATATTTAACTAACTTGTTGAGATTTAATATTTACGTAACGCAATTTAAACGTTGAGACCAAAATACGTACTTCCAAGTTCCACTTTGTACAATGCTTCGATGCATACATATATTATATTATATACAATTTTTATATGGAGTGAGATATTTAGAGCATTTTACAATTAATATTATATCTATATACATACATATACGGAACGTTTTGCATGGCGTCTGATACATTTGTAATTTTTATATAAAGGAGATACCACTTTTCGATCTGATGTTTATACACACTTTCTTAATGTTTCTTTCATATTTCTATATCATCTACGAACTTGATTAGGATCTAAAGTGCAATAATCGCTCTCTTTACTAATTGGAACTAAACAAAACATTTGATTTTGAATGTTAGCATATGCTCTATATTAGAACAGTCTGTTAAACGGTTAATATATATATATTTATAATTACTTTTTTTGTGTTAATGGATTTTCATGTTTGCAATATTTCAATAGCAGGATTTTTCAATTAATACCGTAATTAAAACCCTGTTTCATAATTAGTACATCGTAAATATATATATAGAGAGAAAAGAAAAACGTATTGATGTAAGGTTCATTGTTGTCGTTTTAGAAAATGTGATTCTTGGAGCGTATAAGTAGTAGAGTAGTTACATATAACTTCGGAGGTTTCTTTCTTAGTATTGACCGTCCATTCTATTCAACTTTTTCTTTGTCGTTTGTATTTTAACTATGTCGGTCGGCTGTGACTTTCGTTATAATCGGTTTTGGTCTCTTGTATAAAAACGTGAGAAAAAAAATTATACGAACTTTTCTTAAATAGAATGGTAAATGAATAAAAAAAAATATTAATTTAAATTTGAAGCAGCTTATTTTCAGTAGTTAAAGAAACGCGTATTGTTTGTGTGGGGACCATGTAATAAAGTAAGCTGAGGAAATTTTTTGTTAATCTGGATTTTAGAAATCTAACTAATTTATTAGTGGGTATAGATTACACAATTTATGTTTAAATAAAAATATCAATATTTAACATGAGAATCTTTTAATCCATTAAATTCGCAAGACAAAGTTTACATAAAAGAGTTAATATTTCTTTGCATCAAACCTATTCATAGAGGTTTCATGTTAGTGTATTCAAATTATGTCAAGTTATATGTGTTTACTGCAAGTTTTTTTATTCATTTATCATTCTTGTAATTTTAAGTGGTCTTCTGTATATTGGACATATGCAAAATATTGCTGAAATTATAAAGTTTAACGTGTAAATGATGATAAAGAAAAAAAATTCTTAAGACTGCCAAACTTTAGAGTTTAGAGCAGATGTAACGCTCGGTCGTGATCGACTGTTTCGTATAGTTCTAAGGTTATGCTTGATTAGGGTGTAAATGTTGTCCGAAACAGCGGAAGGAATGCAGAAGAGAGATGAACGCCCAAATTAGCTAATGATGATAATAAACTGACAGATGTAAAATGACAAAATCAAAATTAGCCACAACCGTCATAATCTATTTATGTAATGTTAATGAATTTATACGTTTTGATAATAATAATAATGATGCCATTAGTACAAAATTCCCTGTGCAAGAATCTGATCCCAATGAAGGCGCAGAGTGCGGACGCTCAGCGCGTCGACGCCGCAAAACTGTTGAGTTTAGTGAAGAAGGTCGGTCTGGATAAGACCGCTCTGATGCAGAGCGAGGAGGCCAAGGATTTCGAGTCCATCGTCGAGTCGATAACTCCGACGTCTTCGACGAAGAAGCCCACGCTTTTCTCGGCAAAGAGACGCACGCCCAAGAACGAGCGGAGCTACCACGATATTAAGCTGCTGCTCACGAAGCTACTAGAGCAGGTCTCCGACATGGAGAAGGAAAAGCGCGACGAAAAGCTGCCGAAGAAGGCCGTCAAGCTGAAAGGTAACTCGTTCTTGAACGATCGTTTGATGTGTTAGCTTGTGATTTAGATCGGGTCACGACGACGATGCCCGTCGCCGGTCTGATACCGCAGATTAACACGAGAAGCAACAAGGCGAAGAAGAACAAGAAGGATGATAATAACAGGCGGCAGAGGTGGGGCCATTGGACGGATTGGTCATCATGTAGCGTTTCTTGCGGGAAGGGCAGGCAGATCAGGTGGAGGCACTGCATCGAGCATTGCGAGGAATCGGAAACGGAAATGGCGGAGAAGACCTGTCAGCTTCCGGCTTGCGGACCCGGAAAACTCTTCGGCGTTATTCAATTATGATAAGCGACATCCCGGCTCCTCCTCCACCACCATCCCATCACCGCTCCTATACAAAATACATTTTATATAGATTATAGATTATTATTATTAAATAGTTTTACTTATCGATCAGTTTATCAAACGTCGATATTGTGGAAATCGATTGCTTGGCAGCAATGTGCGAACAATCTCACAATATTGGTAAGTATTACATTTTTTTATGGGAAAATTTCAATAATCTAAACTATATAAACCAGCGTTTTCCAAACTGTGTGGCGCGGACTAGTCGAAGGGTAGGCGCGAATATTAGTCACAGTGAGCAATTTTCCAAATGACTGCTAAAGTTTTATCTATTTTATGAAATGTAGAGGAGGAGAAAAGATGCCAAATAAATATTTTTAAGGGAGGCTGATATTATATAATTAAGAAAAAAAATTTAAATTCACAATATTAGTAAAATTCAACATTTCATAAAAAAAATACATCATAAATAAAGATTCATATTTCCAACATATTTTATATTGATGATATTTCGTATTAAGTTCTTAATATCTTGCAATAAACCTATCCCTCGTTTTACACGATAGTTTCTTTACATATTTACGCTTTTACACGGATTAAAAAACGGATCAGAAGTTCTTTTTACACGTTTTGGCCTTAAAAATAATAAATTAAAAATAAATATTGAAATAATGGCTATGAAAAGGAACATTTTTTGTTTTTTTTTTTTGCATATTATTCGACGTACAGGGTTTTACATTCGCAGGAACCTATCTACTGTTCAAGGGGATAGGTGTATTTAGATATTTAATTCTTGAATTTTTGTGGTCGAAAAGGTGGCAAAAATAATTAGGGATTAAATGTATTTCAAACTTTTCATTAATTTTCATGAGAACTAAATTATTAGTACATAAATTTCAGTAAATTCGATAACAAATAGTTTATCTAAAATTTTATGCAATATAATTTCCTTCATGGGAGAATTTAATTAAAAATTTCATAAACTTGAACAACTTAATAGAAATATTTTGTTTGACTCAAATAGTTTGATAAAAATAAACTAGGAACAACAAAACTATCTTCCTTTTTGTTATATAGCAATGAATAGTTTTAAGCATTTATATCTATTGCACAAATTTGTATTGTATCCAACATATGTTATTTTATAGTAGAAGGTCAGCTAACTAAACTGATGATCCCGAGCTAAGAGGTAAACAATAGTGGTTTTTTTAAGATCAGACCAGACCTGGGGACCAAAGACGCTGTGTAGTGGCGTGCCCTCGCAACTTT